AAAATAAATCTCCAACGACCTTTGAACTACTCCACTCGACATTTAGCAAATAGATCGAGGATAAAGAACGTTTTCGCCGAATAATTTGATCTCGAGTGTATCAAGAGACCGGGGTTAGAAAGGAAGAAACATTTTAGACTCCATCAATGTCTGAAGGATACACCACTTGAGTGCATCGACCCGGATCGTTTCCCCTTTTGCATAACGGTGTACCAATTTTTTCCCTTCTCCCTTCGTGACCAGAGATGCCATTAACCATTTCCTAAACATTTCACTAGACAGCTCAAGTTGCAGATACAACGAAAAATAAAAAGCCCATGCGAATGAGCCCATGAAATACTTCCCACAATTTTTAGTGAAACGAACAAAGGGTGGAGCGATGAAAGTCGATTGGTCGTCTGGACTGACAGAAAAAAATATTTTTATTAAGTTGTTTCTTTCTCCGAACAAGTATTATATACTTGAACCAATTTCAAATAAATAAGATCTTACGGTGAATATCAATTATTTCTTCTTAAGATACATTTACTTGAATCAAATAAAACAGTTCTTGGCGTCAAGTCACATGTATTCACCACAAAAATGGAAAAGTTCAATTTTTTTAATCTAATATAATCTCCAGTCGAGAAATTTTCTACTTTCATGAATTGATCAAAAATTCGTACCTAGGAGATGATTACATTGAGGAATGAATTGAATGTTGTTTTCTCGAATGAAGCCGATGTTCAAATTGAGTTTTCCGTACATCACATTGAACGAAATTTGTACTATTCAATTGTGTGTTGAATTGTCGTAATCTGCATGTGATTCTGTTATTGTAAACTAATGCGATTTTTTTTAGTCAAGAAATATAAACTTCTTGCAACTCAATGATATCTTACTACAATGTCAAAGGTTTTTCCGCGTAACAATATTCACCCTGATTCGACATACGAAATGCTCACTTCAATTAAAATTTACTTGGAACAACGTATGATCGTGTTGATTGAAATAACAACGTATTTAGTCTTTAGAATAATTTTGATTTTTGAGTAAACCAGCGAATTTCTGGAGTTGGCAACCTTTTGGCGAGAAAGGCATCAAATACTCTCATTATTGCGACAAAAGGAACTTCGATTCTAGAGAAGTGCGACTTCTCCCAATCAAATGTATCTCAAGAAAAAAAGACTGGTATTCACTATACAATCATATTTATTTGGAAATAAACAACCAAATGATAGTTTGTTCAAATAAAATTCTCTTGATAAAATTAATTTTTTATGTCAGTGTGGACTGAGGATTTTGAGGGCTTGAGAAAATTGTAATTGTGTAGTTGATGATGAAACGGATATGAGGATGGTAAAGTTGAAAGGGCGGTTTGGATAAGATTAGACGTCGAGAAAACCCACGGACTTTCACAATGACAGGAATTACACCAATTGGATGGTGACGGGCGTTAGCTGTAGCGCACACAGTGGGTGATTATTTTTAGGTGATACTATTTTCGTTCGTCGGTAACCAACCGCCGGCACTCGCCGCGTTCTATGCATCCACTGACGCTACCGTTTTTCGTTAACGAGAATTGTATTTTAATTTTCTCGAGATAATAAAAATACGAAAAATCTGATGCTATTTTTAATGAAATCAGAGCATTACTTTCTGAACAAGTGGAAAACGTAAATTCTTGGACACAAGCTCTGAATTCCGGTGAATAATCGAGCTGAAAACTTCCAGAAATAACTGAGGCATTTAGAGAATTCATATTTACACGAGTTTAGTTGACCGGAGTTCAAAAAGCTCATCAATTTCGGGTAATGATTTTAATTCTTGTGGAAATTATTTCATCTCGACGTAGGTCTGTTTCAAAGTCGTTATAGAAAATATTATTACATAACGAAAATAGTCCAGATACGCCTGTTGCCAGGGGGGAATTGTGCAATGGACCATTGGGGTCGAGGAAATTGCGGTTTTCGCTTCAAGTCATGCACAATTTCGCAGGAGGATACTGAGGAAGTTTGTAAGTGTATTGGCCACCCAGGTGATGAATTAATCTCATCGGAATGAAGAAAAATGATGTTGAGATTATTTCACTCTCATCAAAAGAATTGTTCAATCGAGACAATCATTTTTTCTATAAAAGTGTCACATTCATTTCGGTAGCGAAGCGGTAAAACGGTTTATGTCGATTTTGAGTATTGGCCAGTTTTCAATGAATATCTCGAAAATTAGGTAAGATAGCTAAAATTTTGTCATGACCTTTTTTGTGGCCCTCAATTTGCTCTACAAAAAAGGCCATTACGGAAATTTCGCTATCTCCCTCAGATTCGGAGATATTCCTGGAAAACTCAGCTAAGGACTAAATCGACTTAAACTGTTTTACCGCTTCGGATGAAGCTGAAACTAGCACAATATTCGTCAGCAGAAAATTCAATTTAGGGGATATTTAATCCTAGGAGAGTCAAATAATCATATGTACAAATGTTTTTTAAGTGCGAAAGAGTTTGTACATTACTTAAAAACAATTGTACACCCCTAGATTCGCCTAAGACAAATCTTCTGCTGTCGAATCTTTCGATTTGTTTCAACTTCATCGCTTCGCTATTGATTTTAGGAACATCTCTAAAATCAGAGCATAGGAAGGAAAATCCTAAAAGCCTTCTTATGTTTTCAGAGGGACAAATTTGATACAAAAGAGGTATCTAGATGAATTCCATTGAACCTAGTGGTTACAAAAATATGATAATATGACTATTTAAAATAGTCTCAAAATATTGCGTGAATTTCTACCGTTCCATTACTTGATTGATTAGTAGTCTAATGGACTTTTCGATTTTTAATAATATTAGGTTTTCAGATATTTCACACTCATGAATTCAATTTCGAATGAAAAAATGTATCATTTGAAGTATTGCAACTTTTCCAAGCTTCCACTGAATAATTGAACTGAAATTTACAATTCCTGATTGCTTGATAATTTACAGAATGAATAATTTTCCTAGATTTATTAAATGAGAAGTGGAGTAATGACATGCAAATTGATGGAATTAATTCTGAATCTAAATTCTCCGAGCCAAAAACACTGACGTAAATACGGATCGATAATTTTGGTATCGAAAATGTCTATAAAACGTCTATAATTTGGAAAATATATTTGAAGCAAATATATTAGCTTTCTAAAGAACTTGAGAGATTAAGAGGTTTCCTACACTAATGACCTTCTGATGAATTTTCCTCCCTTGTTGCCGAAGATATTTGCGGCACTATCCAACGATTCCTTTTAACCCTAGTCTGGTTATCATGCGCGATCCTAAGACTTTGGTCAACTCCCCGGGGATTCCCCGCCGTGTTATTTAGGCTCCAGCGCTGCCAAATTCACTCTAGACTGCCTGGGGGCGTTTAGAGAGTGGCCGACAACGTCGGATAACGGACAATTTCATTTGACGTGGAGAAAATAATCGATCTGTTGTACTATAAACTACTACAATTTTTTAGACACTTCAGTTGACAAAGTCTAATTTTTTGGAATTTTTCTGGTTAGCCAGCCAGTCGCAATTGAAAGACAACGACGCAAGCAGTGCTTCCCTCATATGGTGACCAATCTAGGATTAAATTCATACTAGCTGTCCTTACTCGCCTTACGGGTACGTTCCCGCACTCGAGAATTTGCACGAATTTCGAAGAATACCCGAGAATTTTCACAAATTTTCAAAAAAACCGAAAATTTTTAGCTCATAAGCGGAGAAGTCTTGGAAGAATTGAGACTGGCCGCCGAAGCTGGGCTCCAAATATAAAAATGTACTTCAGTAAAGGCGGAGCTACAATAACTTGGAACAAATTCGGTGGAACCAGGGAGGGTAGTACATTCTCTTCTGCTTGTATAACTCAACTAAAACTTTTCTAGAAAACCCACAATTTTTTTCTTATAATGTCTCTCTTTAGAAAACATGAGAATTCCCAAAAAATCTCGGATTTTCTCAGTTTTTCTCGACATTTTTTAGGAAACTTTAACCCTAGTGTGGTCACTCACCCCTCACGTACGGGGTCTTTCTGATACCAAGTCTACCACACGCTCAATACTCTTCACATCCCATATTTTCTGATGAATGAAAAATTATAATTAAAATATATAATTGAAGCTACAGTATTCACCTTCCCAATGGTATTAGTCCGATTGTATTATTTGCCATAGTTTCGGAAATATTCAATTTTGAAAAGAGCCGTGCGTTTTTGCATGGGTCGATATGATATACCGGGCCCGTACGTGAGGGGCTAATAAACGCGTCCCTGCGCTTGGTCACCTTCGCGCAGATTCGACGCCATGTTATTTAGGCTTTAGCGTTGTCGAATTCACTCTACACTGCTCTGTCACGTTTAATGAGTTTCCGGCAACGTCGCGTCATGGGCAATTTCATTCAACATGGGTAAAAAATGATTCATCTGTCCGAAATAATTTGTTTTCTTTAGGAATTTTGGGAAATATGTTATTCTAAAAACTACTATAATTTTTTAGACACTTCAATTGACAAAGTCAAATTTTTTGAATTTTTCCGATTATCCAGTCAATTGTAATTAAAGAAAAACGACGCGCGGTGGGGTTCCCCTTATAGGGTGACCAATGTAGGGTTAAACCTGCGAATTTTCTAGTAATCCCGAAAAAATTTTCCAATTATTTTGGAAAAGAACAGAATTTTTCTAATTCTTTGAAAAAACTTGTAAAGTTCCTCGATATTATCAAAATATCATTAAAGGATGCTAGAATGCTCTGGAGTATTCTAGAGGAATTTCTCTGTTTGTCAAATTCGAGAATTTTCCAGGCAATTTCTGAATTTGCCTGAAGGTTTTCTGAACCCCTGAATCCCAAAAACCCTTCAACCCCGGGTTTTCAATTCGCCTGAGGAGTTCTGAACTCTACCACCGTCTAGAGATTTCCATGAATTTTCGGAGAAACGCACATCCCACATTATATAAAGTATGATTCATCGACCACTTCACAGGCCAATTAAAAAATTAATTGTAATTACCAAGAGTTTATTGTCCACAGTCTTGACAACGATTTCCTCTGGTGTGTACTGGGATACGTCGAATCGAAGTTTAAGGGTTTTGTTGTCTCCTTCATCCTGAATCAACGGACTGTTGAGGCCATCCAACCAGGTGCGAGAGTCTTGCTGAGGACTCAAAGAACTGTTCTGGGTGTTGTGTGTTGTGGTACTGCAAATAACAAAATTGATAATACAATTAATACCATGAAATTTTTGTCATTATCAAACATTGAAATGATTAAACAACGACTGATGCTTTGTGTGGTGATCGAAATCCATGATGGCGTCGGTGATCTACGGTAGTAATGCTATGGAGAATAAATAATCTAATAATACACATAAACAGTGATTGTGAAATAACACTAAATACACTAATGAGCGTCACGTAATTGATTCACCTAGGCTAATAACGTTTGCAGGGCTCTTTGTAAGAGTCCAAATAAGAACTCATTTTTCGTCATCAATTTATTCTTGATGAGACCCGATGAATTACTTCGTTAACTCTCGATGGGACTCGTCCAATTTGTTAATCATGTTTCACTGAACGAGGGTTTAATCACACAGAGGATTTTTTATGGCATTTGTGCGGAAATTGTATTAATGCGCAAGCCGTCTCATCTACGAATGCTTTTCATCGTAAAAGCAGTGGAAAGCGTGCAAATTATTTAGCAAAATGATGAGAAAAGCTGATTTATAAGATGTGCACTCAACTCTAACTTTGAAAAAAACTAGAAAATTTTTAGGATTGAATTTTCCTTTTCATTCACTACGAGCAGTTTTTCCAAAATTATTTACATCGTTTTAATCTTTTTTTTATATCTTCGTACGTTGTTCAAAACTTACTCAAATCTAATTCCCGGTATGTGATAATTTGTGTCGAAATTTAAACAGTAACTTGACTTTTGAGTACATTGAAAAATTTGGGCGATATCTAGTGGCTCAAATTCTATATGATTTTTGAGAATATCTATCATTACACCTGTGAAAAAATTCAATAGGAAACATAGCGCACTCCTTTAACTTGTTATAGAAATTCTACCGAAAATTCTATTCGTTTTTTCCTCGTTTTCATTGGAAATTATATAATTCTAACCTGCGATTTTTAAATATTCCATCGAAAAAATGGAATAGATATTGATTTGTTTACAAAGTTTATTTTGTAATAATTTTTTCTATGGTACGAATTTTCTGAGTTTTTCTCAAATGGATTTTGTAATGAGAAGTAGAACAACATACCATAGAAAATAAAGGAGAATGTAAGCCCGCGAATTTCTGTATAAAAAAATCTCCAGAAAATAGTCCATACAGAAACATCAAAATCTATTAATTTTTTTGCTAAAAAATTTCTCGAAAAATTGTATGAAAAGAAGTTTGTACTACGAAGTTTTCGATAGAACATCGGCAAGAATGAGTGGAATTTCTAATATAATTTCAATAGAATTCCCATAGAATTTTCTCTTGAGAAATCTTTTCACCTAAATTTTTCAAAATTGACTGCCTTGCCAGTGACGAACTCTACGGATATTTCAAAAAAATGAGTTGGTGTTGAATTTTCACCGTGAATAAGAAATGAAATTGCGTAAGCAATGAATAAATTAACGGACAATCGTGCAGAAGATGCTGTATTGTGCGAAAAAATCTAGCCGAACCAAAAGAAGTTGAACATTTTTGTAACATTCTTTTCTTTGCTGAATCGAGGCATTGTGCTTCACCTGGTGAAAGTCTTGTCGAACGCGGAACGTTTTGATGGCGCGGCAGGATCAACTTTGTCCCAACCCTCAGTCCTCGAGGTCGTCGAGGTACGATGCTCACTGGTGCTCGTGTGATGCCGGCTGGTATTGTATATAGCATAATATGATATTATATAGCAGTTAGTCACCAAGAAAAGTGCAGAAAGAAAAATATAAAAAAAGAGAATCATCTCTCTCACGTAATATCACAGCTTCTGTTTGCGATAGGCGGGCCAATTAAGGTGTTTCGTGTAAAAAGTCAAAATAATGAAAAAAAAAAATGGAAAATTCATGAGAGAAATGTCTGAGTATGCTGCATCCTTAAGAATTATTGCACATTTTTTTCAGATCTCAGTCTCAAGAAAAAAAATAATGAAACTTGTATGTTTTTGTAACCCTTTCAGCTATAACCTCCGAGGTTACCCCACTCTCAATTAGGGAAATTTCCATATCACCCAAAAAAATAATCAAGTATTGAGGAAAAACTAGTGAGCGATAAATCAAATCTTTCTTGAGAACACGTATAAGTTTCAGATTTTTTTCCGATTTCATAAGAAAGTTGTTTGAACAAATGATTTGGATAATTATGAGTTTCGGCACAATTACGCCCTCACGCGCAGGCGCGATATTCGAATGTCAGTGAGCATCATGGGAAAGGTATGGGTTGGACCATGGAACTGAGAGAGAGAGAGAGAGAGAGAGAGAGAGAGAGAGAGAGAGAGAGAGAGAGAGAGAGA